AATGGATATGTCTTACAAGAGGTCTGTCTTATAAGGGTTTCGTCTTACAAGAGGTCTGTCTTATAAGGGGTTCGTCTTACAAGAGGTCTGTCTTATAAGGGGTTCGTCTTACAAGAGGTCTGTCTTATAAGGGGTTGGTCTTACAAGAGTTCGGTCTTATTAGGGATTTGTCTGACAAGAGCTCTGTCCCATAATGGGTACATCTTACAAATCTTGTTATAAAGGATGTGTCTTGTATTGGCAGTCCTTCCAGACTTTTATCTTACTAACATTTCTCTGTTTACTGTGGTCAAGAAGATATCTTCGCATAATGATGAACATGACAAAATGGCGGATGAGGGGAAAAAAAAGAGATGCTTATCTCAAATTGCTTGTTATACTATGTCCCAAATCAATAGAGTGTTTCTAGACCTGTAAACAATCATTTAAAAAAGTAACTATTAAAAGTATTTCTCCCTATCTTGACATACTGGTAATATAAGTATTGTTTAGCTTGTCTGTAATCTAAAGAAAAAGTCAAGCTATTATGTAGCCCATTATTCAAACATTTTAAAAATTATCAACATGAATCATAGAATTTTTGCTTAAAATGGAAAGGTGGAGTTGATGTACAAGGGACGTAATTCTGAAAGCTATATTTATTAGAGTTACCCCACTTTGTTTAACAGATGACACATCTGTTGCTTTATTTTTAAGGATAGCTTAATATATAATTTTGATTTTACTTATTGGGACAATAGAGCATTAAATGTTCTTCTTAGTTGTGGCTTTTGCCTGAAAATAATGCATGGAGGCTTAAAATAATGCATGGAGGCTGAAAATAATGCATAAATAATGCATGGAGGCTGAAAATAATGCATGGAGGCTGAAAATAATGCATGGAAGCTGGGAGCACCTGAGGTCTAATAATAACCATAATTAATGGTTTTAATCTTGTTCCGGTTTGTGCCTGCACAGATGGGGCATTTGTCCTTTTCTTCTTCACATGCAACGCTGTGAACTCAGCATATTATTATAAAAGGACCTTCACTGTCATCATGTGACTTTGCTGTGATCATGTGACTTCGCTGTGATCATGTGACTTTGCTGTGATCATGTGACTTAAGACTCGACCAATCGGTTGTTTACAAACTGTGTCAATGAAATGAGCACAAATCTAGATCTGGGCTTAATATGCTGTGATTTCTTTTCTAGGTGAAAATTATGATAGACTTTACATATTATTATGTACAATTGACAGAAGATTTTTTTTTCACAGATTTTTGTTTTGTTTTCCTTGTATTCATTTATAAAAGAAGTATTTTTATACAAGAAGTGCAAGGAGCTAAATTTGTTAAGATATGTTTGTATGTGTATATAAATTTTGTGACAGGGATTTGAGGTTTGGTCTTTTGTACTAAGTGGAGGGTCATGTGACATGAACTTGTGTATGTAATAAAGAAACGGCAAGAAAAATTTGCGAAAAAGTATTATATTACAACAACTGTGACGACAACAAAAAACAAAACAGACACAGAAAATTGAAACCAAACTGGCACCAATGCAATCCAATGAAACAGGTTTTTTTTGTTGTTTTTTTTTGCGTCAGGGTGATGCACTATTGTGGGATTTTAGTTAAGTTACTGTTTTGTTGTTGTTGTTGTTTTTATTTTAGAGAGTTATAAAATGATGCTTTAAAGCAGCATGCTTCAATATCCATGCTTATTTTCTTGAAAATTTTGAAATATTTAAAATAAAAGTAAACTATTGTGAAACTAACAGCGAAGTATATACACATTGCAAACTGCACTTACAATCCAGGACTGTTAAAATATGCAAAAAATAGCTCTAAACTGTGTAAGTCAGGCAAGTAGAAATATGCTGCAAAATCAGTCTTTAAACGCATATAACATTTTACTTGAAATCTTTTTACTGTTCTTTAATTCCGAGTACATTTGTCCCGAGTTCTATTTTCTTGAAAAAGTAATTTTGGCTCATCTGGAGGTTGCGATGATATGGCTATGATGAAAAGACTGAAAAAATGTCTGTATTTTATTGTTGATAAAAACTTTATAAGAAGCAACAGTTTTAAAATGTTTCTAAATGATGAAAAGTTGACATTAAGGATTTATGACCATTTTCAAAATTGACACCCCCCACCCCACCACCCATTCATTTTTTTTTGCACCAGCCATCCTCAAAACCTGACCTAACCCCGCCCTTAGACCCCTCAAGACACCCTTCTTTCCCCCCTATTGAATCCATTTCATATAAGTATGATATCTGAATATGTTTAATAATTGATATATCAATACATATATGTTTTAATTAATTATATATTAATTTTAATAGATTTTTTTTTGTTCATATTTGTGTTTATAATATTTTTTATTAAAGAGTGACATTGATAGATATAGTGAGGTTTATGTAAATGATTTCTTGTCTCTGATAAATTAAATGTTAAATGCAAGCCTATTCTACCTTTATGTTGAAATAAACCATATTTGTGAAAAAGATCAATCCATATGGTTTTGTTGTTTATCATGTTTTTTTTAGGGGGGTGGGGGTTGTGTTACGTCACACCAACATGTCATAGGTCATTATGGCGACTTTCTAGCTATATTGATGGAGGAAGACGTCATGTGCCATTCCGTGCATAATTTCAGGCACGAACAATCACCCGAGTAGGACCACCGACATTCTGTAAGCTTAAGCCATCCTCGGTAACCCAGGCTATTTACGGTATACATGTATCAATAAATATAGTATATACGGTATGTGTTACGTGGGTTCCGACGATGTAAGTTAGATGGATGAAAGCATCCAAAGTCTCTGTCAGCAGTGAGAGGCAAGTGGTTTGAATCTAAAACCATAACCACTGACCAAAGACAGCCCCTATCATGTTTTTAACAGTGCATATGACTTGTAATTTGTATTTAGCTTGACTATTTGAAGAATTGGGAGAGCTATTGAAGTCGCACTTCAGTCACATTTTTGCATGCAAGGTTGTATCTCCAAAACTTATGAAGAGAATGGGTTGAAGCTTTACACACTTATTTGAAAGCATAATAGGTCATTTCCAATGTAAAAAACTCTAACATGGATTTTGACAGAATTATGGCCCTTTTAGGAACCAATGGAAAATTCTACATTAATCAGGTTATTGTTTTACGATCAAGCACTACTGACAGCTGTTTTTTCTTTTTTCCTTGAATGACCTTTGACCCTTAACATAGCAATGATTTTGCATTCACTTAAAGGCAGGTTGTCATTCTTTTCACCACTTGTCTTCCAGTTTCAAGTTCAAACCCTAACTAACTGGATCTAGAAGTGACAGAGTTTAATTGAAGTACATGTATTTTATTAAGCCATAATTAAATTTTAAGTGGTGACGTGTCAATTATCTGAGGATTGCTGGCCATGTGGGCTCAAACCCCTTCAGGGGCAAGCCGTTGTTTCCATAAGCAAGAAACTTGACACTCATTACTTAGTACTGACTGGTTGGTTCCAGGAACAGATTTAAGTGTGTTTCACTAATTTCATAGCTTCCAACACAATGGAATTGTAATAAATTAGTATAAACTAATAAAATTGGACAGTGCTTAATTCAATTTGCAGCCAGATATTACAAGTTTTGTTAACCCTTAGACTGCTGAAACAGAGTGACCTGATTAATTTTTGTCTTGGTCAAAATTATAAAGCAAAAAATCAAAACTTACACTAGCTTTTTTTACTTCCCAAATTAGCAATTATAGCACTAATTTTCCCAAAAATCAAGAGGCTAAGGCCTATTGCCAATTAAGTGAGAACACCCAAGGTCTAAGGGCTTAAATGATCTTCATCTTGGAGGTCGAATTTTCAAAATTCTTGATATTTCTGAGAAAAATTCTTTAAACTATTAACAGTAACAAATTATGGTATATATCTCGCACCAATAGTTTTAATGTAAAATGAAGTTCCCAATCTACCCTAGAGGAAGCAATCTTGTTGAATCATGTTGAAAGATACGGCTGCATCACAGGAGGGTAATGGAATGTGAATCGAAATACAAGTCTATCTGATTTGTACAAGCATACATGTAGCCACCGAGTATAAATTGGATTGCTAAGTGTTTTGAAGTTCTTTCTCTTTTGTTAAGTAGGCAAAAATAAAATAGTGTTCCCTGTTGTCACAATATGAAACCCCAGAAAAAAGTAACCAATGAACGAGCATCTGAATATGATATTTCTATCGCTATCCGTTTCTATGTCGTCACAATAAGTAAACCCCAGAAAAAATGAGCCAATTAATGGGCATGCACTAGAGTGCGGGTAACTAATACCTGCACTACAGTTAACACACTGTGCATGTATTTGTATACAATTTAACTCTGACACGTTTTCAACTGTCAGAAAGGTCCCCAAACTATGATACAACATTATCATATTGTTTCAATTTAACGCCACTCCTCCCCCCCCCCCCCCTTATTCATTTCATTACTTGAGTTTCACTAATTGTTATTTTTTTTTTTTAAATAAAAATATTTGGATTTTTTGGATTGCTTTTTCAGTTCATCAGTCTATATAAGGTAAAATTTCATAACATACAAAATATGGTGTGGGGCACTAATTAGAGAAGGGGGGGGGGCATTAAATGGAAACAATACGGTACATTGTCTAAATAAACAAATCAAGATATTCAGTAAACAGGGGGGGCCTCTGTGGCCGAGTTGTTAAGGTCGCTGACTTAAGATCACAGGTCCCTCACCGCTGTAGGTTCGATCCTCACTTGGGTCGAAATCTTTCATGTGAGGAAGCCATCCAGCTGACTTACGGAAGGTCGGTGGTTCTACCCAGGTACCCGCTCGTGCCTGAAATAATGCTTGGAGGGGCACCTGGGGTCTTCCTCCAACAATAAAGCTGGAAAAAATCGACGAAAAAATCTCGGCGGGACGCTCTATGATGGCCCGACTTGAGTGTATGGTCGCCCATATGGGCTTTCCGGCGGCGACCTTAAATAAACGCATTAAAAAAAAAAAAAAATCAGTAAACAGTACAATTTAATGAAAGTAAAAAATACAAAACAAAATTAAAGTCTGACTAGCTCCACTTCACTTTATCTTGGTATTTCGGTAGAGGATTCTCGTTATAGAATTTCTGTAGGTACGTACAAGTTGGTCGTATAAGAGCTCCTTTGTCAACAAAGTGGTCGAATGCTGTCTGAAGAAGAAAATGAGAAATGAGCCGCGTCATGACAAAACCAACATAATGGGTTTGCGACCAGCATGGATCCAGGCCAGCCTGCGCATCCGCGCAGTCTGATCAGGATCCATGCTGTTTGCTTAGAAATCCTATAACAAGTAGGGAAACTGATAGCGAACAGTATGGATACTGATCAGACTGCGCATGCTGGTTTTGTCATGACGCGGTTCAAATAGCACATAATTAGTATTTTGTGAACAAAGTGGTCAAAATGCAGTTTGAAGAAGAAAATATGTGTAATAAGTTTATCAAATTACAAAACAGATGCAAGATTTAAAGATCCTGTAACACAATTTTTTATGGTTTTATAAATATAATACTCAAATGAAGATTTATCAATATTGTAAGTTCCAAAAAGCATTATTTGTAAAGATATTACTAAATTTACATTTCATGTTAATATAGAGAGGTAATTGGAAATTTATTTTTTATAAAGTCTAAGTCAAATTTTTCAATAAGAAATGAATGCATATATTTTAATGATTATATACATATATTTGCAGTACATATTTTACATATCCTGCGATGTTTGAAAATTGTTTTAGAAGCATAATTATATACATATATAAAATTTCACTTACATGTGGTAACAACCTTGACCAGCTCACATAGCTCAATCACTTAGAGCGCGAGACTTGTTATCTCAACATTGTGGGTTCGGTTCCCGGACTGGCCAACTAAAATTACTTATCAGTCTTTCGGAGGTCCTGTGTATGGGTGCTTAAACACTTGGCAGGCTAAAGAACCAGGAGAAGCTTTTGGAATTGGGGCATCTTTCTGTATCTGTAATTGCACTATCCTCCAAAAATCTTAAATGACTTATACTCTTCTGGAGGACTCACCCATATGGGCAACCAGTGGCGAAATACACACACTGGTAACAATCTTAATTACAACATACAGGATCTTTAAATGGTAAAATACCAGGTAATATGAGCCGCGTCATGACAAAACCAACATAATGTGTTTCCGACCAGCATAGATCCAGACCAGCCTGCGCATCCGCATCGCTTACAAACCCTATAACAAGTAGAGAAACTGATAGCAAACAGCATGGATCCTGATCAGACAGTGCAGATGTGCAAGCTGGTCTGGATCCATGCTTTTCTCAAATGCACTATGTTGGTTTTGTCGTGACGTGGCTCATATAGAAATATTAATACCTGGGCTAGTATCTTGGCGACACCATGACCTCTAAACTGAACTGGTACCACTGTATGTTCAAGGTCAACATAATTCGGATCTATGTAACTATACTGTAACACTGCTTTACTCTCATCCCCTCTACCCTCTGAAAATATAAAAAGGCTAAGCTATTTAAAGTTATATAAAAAGCTATATAAAGTAATGTACCAGTACAATGCAGAAGTCCCATTGTGAACTTAGCCACACAGGCCTTTTCCTAACCATTTTTTTGAAAAAGTACATTGCCCAGTTTGGAAATTTTACATCCTAAAATTGCTTTATTGGGAAAAATATTTGATACCTTTTGAAAGCTCTTTCATCTTCCTTTGGCATAGTATTAATTTTTGTAGATTATGGTCATTGTGCAAAAGTGTTTAAATACATTAAAATTTGACAATGAAATGGAAACAATCTGTCTCGTACCATACTGGAATGTCAACTACAGCAAATTTGTCTGTTTTGATATTGAGAATTTCAGTTCATTTAGGAATTTTTTTAAAGATTGGGAAAAATAAGGAAAAACTGTCATTGGGAATGGGTATTGGGAAAAGGCATGCCATCCTACCCACAAGAGAGTTGCTGGAAAAGTGAAATGTGTTTTTAATCTCTGCCAGGTCAGTGCAATGGCTTTCATTCCAAACTAAAAGCAATAGCAACAGATAAATGTACGTTACATTGCAATTTCGGAATGAAGTGGAGATTTTATTATGACTATGATTTTCTACAACAATAATTTTTAGTCAAGCAGTAAACCCATTTCTGCGCTTAGGTGAGGATAATATTTCCTACAACAGGAGTTTTTCGAATAATGTCAAAATTCTTCTATGTTACTTCATGAACAAAGTATCAGTTGACAGATACAAAATAGTTGAAAGTTTATGGGGAATACATAGGTCCAAATCTAGCCTAATGTATCAAGCATGAACGGTTTGACCCATTTAACTAACTGTTAACTGTTTCCTATTGTCAAACCATTGACAAAAGACATTGCATGCTCATTCAAACAATATCTCAATGTCTCTTTGATAAGTCTAATAAGTTGGACTTAAGTTGTAATCATTTAATTTAAGCCAACTTTGCACTTGTAAGTCAACTTTGTATCAACTTGGCAAATGATGACCTTAAAAAAGTTATCAGAATACACATCCTATATGTTACTTGTAATTTTGAGACTATAAGTAATAGAAAGAGCATCGAAGCACGAGTCTATCTGATTTGTACGAGGGGGAGTAGCCCATGAGTATTGATCAGATTGCCGTCTTTCTCTTTTGTATCATAGTCGAACATAAAAAATACGTACCCTGTTGTCATAATATGAAAAGTTGCTCCCCTCAAAGATAAAGGCCACTTAAATTGTGATAGTAAAACGAAAGCAGAACTTCTAGTAAAACAATTTGAATCAGTATTTACCAAGGAAGATAAAAATGTGAACTTACCTGAAATTCCTACTCGTATTGAAGAAACATTACCAAACCTAAATATATCAACAGGTGGCGTTTTTAAACTTCTTAAGAACTTAGACATATCTAAAGCAGTCGGACCTGATGAATTACCAACAAAAGTTCTTCAATATTGTGCAGAAGAACTAGCACCAGCAATCTCAACTATATTTCAAACATCTACCGACTCGGGAAATTTACCCTCCGATTGGAGAAATGCCTTCGTTTCACCGGTCTTCAAAAAAACAGACACCTCTCAGAAAACTATCGACCTGTATCATTAACTTGTATTCTTTCCAAACTACTGGAGCACATTATTTGTCGGCACATCTTGAATCATCTGGATAAATACAAGGCACTTATGTCATTGAATCACGGATTCCGAAGCGGCTTCTCATGTGAATCACAACTAATTGTCACCACTCATGATCTTTTATCCATGTACGATAATAACGCACAAGTAGACACCATCATTTTGGACTTTAGTAAAGCTTTTGATACTGTTCCCCACAAAAAGCTTCTTCATAAACTTCACTCCTATGGCATCAGAGGAAACTTACATACTTGGATCGCCAACTTCTTGATGCAGCGCAAGATGAGTGTAGTCGTTGAAGGCGAACAATCATCGTCGGTAAATGTGGGTTCTGGAGTCCCACAGGGTACAGTGCTCGGACCATTGCTCTTCTTACTACATATTAACGATCTTCCGGACCATGTTAAATCACAAGTGAGGTTGTTTGCTGATGATTGTTTACTATATCGCCAGATCAAGTCCCAAAAAGACCATCTCCAACTTCAAAAAGACCTAGACAATCTCCAAACCTGGGCATCTACATGGGGGATGAAATTTAACTCAAAAAAATGTTACCTGCTGAATCGATGCATTTCTACAACATTGATAACAACATACTTCAACAAGTTCAAGTCAATCCTTACCTTGGTATCACTTTCTCGGATGACATGAAATGGTCAACGCATATTAGTAACATCTGTAAAAGAGCTAACTCATCTATTGGATTCCTAAGAAGGAACTTACGCCATTGTCCTAGACAATGCCGCAAAAATGCCTACCTAGCCCTAGTCCGCTCCAAATTAGAATACGGATGCACTATCTGGGACCCTTATACCAAAAACGAAATTGATAAACTTGAACGTATACAAAGGCAAGCCGCTCGATTTATTACCAATAACTATACTTCTAGGGATCCAGGATGCGTTACATCAATGCTGGAATAATTGGAATTACCAAGCCTCCAAGAGCGCAGAAGACTACACTGACTTACTTTCATGTATAAGGTAGTGGAAGGGCAAGTACCGGCAATTAACATACGGGAATACCTAACTCCTCAGGGCAATTATAGACGATCTGTAAGAGCTAAATCATATAAAGACTATATAAGTGATAATATTGTGGAAAAATCTGTGTGTAATAATCAAAAGTGTTACAAACCAGTATATGTAAAAACAGAAAACTATAAAAATTCTTTCTTCATCAGAACAGTGTTAGACTGGAATAAATTAAGTGACTCTCAAGTGTGTTCATCAACAGTTCAACAATTTAAAAACTCTATAAAACTTTGTGACTAAGGCGCACTCCCTTCACCGTCGTGTTAAAGCCAGATTTTGGTCTCTACGACGTACCCTCACAGATACAGATACAGATGAAACCCCAGAAAAAAGTAACCAATGAACGAGCATCTGAATATGATATTTCTGTAGCTTTCCGTTTCTCTGCCGTCACAATAAGTAAACTTCAGCAAAAATGAGCCAATCAAAGGGCAAGCTAATTGAAAAGCGGCCTTAGGCTCTTGATTTGGGAAGAATTGTTGCTAAAATTGCTTATGTAGGAAGTAAAAAAAGCTTGTACAAGTTCATATTTTTGGGAAAACTGCAAGATTTAAATGAAAAATTCAATTGGGAATAGGCCTTTTAATGGTATCTGTTACATGAACTGAAAAATCACTGCTATATTGCTGGTTTAGTCATGTACCTACCTTTAAGTTTTATGTAAAATTCTTGGCTTTTTGTGTCGTGTACAACATTCAGTTTCGCAGTGTCAGAATTTGAAGCCATCCTAACGTGTCTGCAGGCTGAAACACGCAATAGTGCTGGAGCAGATTTCAACATGTGTAGATATCAAAGTTTAATCTTTGTTTTTTTAAAAGTTGGCATGAAAATATGTTTTCAATTCGTGTTCATTGAAAATTCTACTTTTGTTGACATTTTACCGGAAGTTCATAAATGAGGACGAGCAAATTTTGAATAAATCCCGTTAGTCCGTACGGTTATACCGTGTATTTATGGAGTTGGCCCACTAAACTCTCGCCCTGTATAGGTACAGTAAATTAGTGAGTCTTAGTCTGTGTTCCTTAACACCTGGTGAAAAAATATGCTGTTCTCAACAATAACAATAAAACATTTTATTTCGTATAGGAAGGCCACCGGCCCATAATACATTTACAATACCAGAAATTGATAATGTTATAGAGTTGCAAAGCTTTTATATAGAGAAAAGCAATAATTACTCATTTTACTACTGTATGAATAAAACTACATATGTTTAACAATTCTTGTTTGTTATTTGTAGACATTTTAGCATAAAAAACATCTAATGCATATTACCCAGATATGAATCTCTTGCCACTCGCAAAATGCAAGGAATTCATCCTCTATCACTGTTATCTGATGCTCGAGACAATAGGCACATAGTCTTTCATCTCTGGGAATCCCCATATGTCTATATGTCTACCAAGTTCGATACCCAGTTTATGACTCGAACACCGCAATTTGGCAATGCTTTTACGTAGATAAAATGCGACAATTTAAAGTATAGCTCTACATCTAACAAGGATTTAAACTCTTTATAATGATTACATCTAGAAGAGTTACTAATGCGATTATGTCAGTCCTGTGTTAGTCAATAAGATACCCGCTGTTTAAATTTAGTTATAAACATAGTGATTTCACCCAGATCTTGGGATAACCATACAAATCTAAAACCAAACTTAAAAAGAGTTTCTCGAACCTCGAATGCCCATGTTCGTCTTCCAACGTCATCTAAGTCTTTATGCATCGGATAACAGTTTCTAGGATATCTATAAGTTTGCATTTGCAGCAATATTTTACAAATCTAGTAACATAATCAACATATAATGGTAAACGACCGCATTCTCCTATCGCTACATCATTGTGTGTTGTTTTATTAACTCACAAACACTGCTTACAGTATTTTACTTGGGCCCTCTATATGATATCAGAATAATAAAATCCCCATACATGTATCTATGATCCGTACAATAGTATAGTTTTAACCATTGAATCAAAAATCTTAAAACATTCCAAATAATCAAAATATCCGAATTGTCTTTGATACTCTCTTATACAATAAAGAGATTGTGTTGCTTGCGACGGCAAATGATACTGTGCTTTTGACCATGACAATTTAGGGATGAAAAGCAGACCCATATATTTATAAACTGATAAAGTGTTAATTATTGTGTCCCAAAATTTCCATGCCTCTTAGTTGTAGTATCTACATAGTGCTTTAAAGGACCACCTCTGAGGAATACTATTACTTCTGTCTTGCCTAAATTGACACTCATGCCGACATTGACACTGATGCCGACATTGTCACAGAACGACTTGATATGAGTAGCATTAAGTTGGCGTTGCAAATTATATAACAACAGTGGTGTCAGCAGGGTTTGCAACATCATCTGCAAATAATAACGAAATAATATCCGAAATGTTATTATTTACATAAATACAATCACCACATTGTTCCCGAAGATAAGTATATAGGTTATTAATAAAAAGAACAATAATCAAAGGACTACTTAATTATATATCCCTGTCTTGTTCCTTTTGAACATGGGAAACTATTTGTCACACGTGATTGACTTAATTTAGGTTCTTATACATACTTTTTAATGCACATATTGTTTTTGGATAGGGAAAAGGATTGGTTGGTGGAATTCCACCCTCAAAAATGCCAGATACTCCACATAACAAACAAGAGAAAACCAATCAGACATCCATATAACATCCATGGACACATCTTAGAAGAAGTAGATACAGCAAAATATTTAGGCCTCACTTCCAAAAGTCACTTAACTGGAATCATCACATTGACCTCACTACAAAAAAGCCAACAATGCCACATCTTTTCTACAGAGAAACATCCATCAATTCCCAAGAAGGACCAAAGAGCTCTGCTATATGACCCTCGTGAGACCTCTGGTGGAATACTTCTCTATCATCTGGGACCCATTCACTGAGGCAAATATCTGGAAACTGGAGATGGTGCAGGGCCGAGCGGCAAGAATGATCTTCTCAGACTACAGAAGAACCAGCAGTGTGACACCGATGCTGCAACACTTACAGTGGCCTACCCTCCGAGAACGCAGAGCCCATGCCAAGGTGACCGTGATGTACCGCATAGTAAACGGCCTAGTTGAAGTCCCTACATCCAACCTCACTGCAATCATCTCTGCTCGAGGACATGAACTCCACTACCTGGTACCATTTGCAAGAACCCAGTGCTACCAGCGATCCTTCTTCCCAGACACCTTCCGCCTCTGGAACAGTCTTCCCCAGGCAGTTGTAAGCTGTACAACCATAGACAGCTTCAAGAGGGAAGTAGCCCTAGGTTCTATGATATCACGGTACTTAACGATTATTGGAAAAAAATCAAATATAAATATCATACATAAATAAGATTTTCCTTCTATTTAATCAGTGAACCTTTTCCAAAACTGTTTGTCAAATTTTTTTTTTTTCAAAAAATCCAATTAAAATGACATTCTTAAACTATTTCCAATGTCTGCCATTTTGGGTTATTTCAGAGGAGGTTACTATAGTATCACGGTAATCCCCAAAAATGCAAGTATGGAAGGATAGATAGGTCAAAATCTTCTAGCTATGTTGTGAAAAACTTCCAACAGTTAACTTGCTATAAAATTCAAACTATATGAACAGATGGTATGTCAGTTTATGTGATTATAATATATTTATATTGACTGTGTAAAAACATTTCAGGAAAATAGTAGTAAAATATGACAATTTTATAAAATATTTTTCTTGTCTCGAATACATTCATTACTTACAAAATTGAATTTTTTGCAGATAAATAGCATCATCGTGTGTTGCTTTTATTAGCAGTCACATAAAATGTAAATACCATGATATCATAGGAACCGATAGACTGCCAGGTGTTTTTACCTTTTCAGCACTATACAAAGTACTTTTTAAATGACTTTTGTACATACATACATAGACACTTCTCACACAGCGCTGCACTAGTACGAGTATACGCCGGAAGGTGTCTGTACTATATTGGAAGAAGAAGAATTGTGGAGGGACTTTATTTAGTATTATTTAACCTATAAAAAAATGGAAGTATTTAGCGTTGATCAACCTATCGCGCACCTGTTTAGTATAACAATAATGAATACCAAACGAAAATATGTTTATTTTATTTCTTTTTTTAATTATTTTTTGGAGATGTGATAAATTTTGAATATCAATTATATGTACATCATTGATTTATCGATAAATTTTATAAGCAGTAGTTCAGTGTATCTCAAAAACTTATCCTCAATAAGAAGTTTTTATAAAATTTCGTTTAAATAATTTAGCTTATTGAAAACCCATAGCAACTTTTGGCATCAAAATGGCGACTCGCGGAAATTTTTAACAAATTGTTGTGATTCGTATCTGTTGAGGATTTACGATAATATTTGTATCCTTACCATGTTAACACCCTTACTGTTGTTCTTTTATTCTTCTTAATATCTGTAATATTGACGCGTTTTATAAACTAAAAAGAATTTTAATACAGATTTAGACTTCGGATAAAATAAAAACAGGAACAAATTTTTACAAAATGCAAAAAGATAAAGATCAATAAAATAAATAAATGAAGTGAGAATTGCTTGTTAATGTTTAACAGAGATGTAGATAAAAGAGATAGACAACTTCCTTGCCAGTTAAACTGAAATTACAAATTTCTAAACTTAAAATCTGTCGACGTTCATTTTGGTATCTTACAAACAGATGTTTCCTCACATTTTGTCTTCAAATTATATGAAAAGGGCAAAGCCTTGAAGCGACCTCGATTTTCTTTGACCGTAAAATAGTTTAAAATAATCATTCATTTCTATTTTACAGTTTCCGTTTTAAAATTGTCATTGGGTATTTTATACACTGCTTCCGCTTTTTCTGGTTCCCCCTTTCTATTATGATTCCCATAGAAGTGCGCAGGACACCAATCTACGCTTCCATTTTCAATCAGAGTACATTGGCTTTTTTTTGTTATCTTGTAATTCGAAAAGTTGTGATGTGTCAATTTGGTACTTCAGATGAAAGTTTTCAAAACCATCACTTTCTAGCAAGTACTCGCGCTACCGTAAAGCTCGCTTTGCGAGCAGGCCCTTTGAGCCAGCTTGTCAATCTCGCTATTGAATAATTCATTTAATGTTATGCCTTGATTTATATTAATGTTGGTTAAAATTTAAATAAACACTCTGACACAATTCAAATATTGTGCCAAAAGAACCTGAAATGGATGATTTAAATGGTGCCAAATATTTTTTCTGATTAAGCAATTTTACGATGCAAACCTTCCCAAACTGGGCTTTAAACTTTTTTTTCCAAAAAGGCAATTACTCATTTAACCTTAACAATTATCAAAGTTGCTGTTAAATTGACAGCTGAAATATGTCGTTAAAAACAACGAGTCCGACGAGATCGTCGCGAGCAGAGTTGCTGGACGGGACAACTTCTAAAGCAGGGATTGAGTCCAGCCGTACCCCTGAGAGAACTGATAGAACAGAAAAACATGAAAGGTAATCATTCTACACATGTATTTTATTTGTACTTTAGCAAAATAGTAGTTCTGTTAAGGCCTTGATTAATTATAATCTGAGGCAATTAATCTCTACAGTCATTGAATTTAAGATTTTGAATTTATTCTACTATATATTTAAATAAATGTTCTTAAAATTTGCTAAATTTCAATGACTGGTCTACTTATTTTTCAATTCTTGAATTTTGTTATAATTTATACCACTATGTTTTTTGTTTTTTTTACATAATGGAATGGCGGTCTTCAAATTAGTGCTACTCCGTGGCTCGAGGCCACTTAATTTAGCATCTGTATTATGTCATATTGCAAGGTTTGTTGGTTGTCTGACATGCCTGTAGAGTTTTTGGCTGTGAAAAGATACCTTAAGAAAAATTAATCAAAATAATGAGGCAAGATTTGCAATATGATCGATCTTTTTGCCTTTTTTTGCAAATGAAACCCATTAATTTCAGTCCTAAATGTTCAAAACACAGCAAGAGATGTCTAAATTGTATTGAGTACTGTATAATTATGGCCCTGAATACAAGAAGTAATTTGCTTCTTTTAAAATGATGAAGGGAAGCATGATGAAGTGCTTTCCTTTACCCATCAATTTATTACCTTTGTTCATATTAGGTCCGGCTAAAGATCACCATGTCCTGTAAGATTTAAAATTTTACTGACCCGATCGAATGTCCTGTGCTTTTTAAAGTTTTGCGTGAAAACTGGGACCGGAAATAAGTTTTTTCGAAGTTTTTTGTACCATAATAACATTTGATGTCTTCAGCAAAAACTTTTGGTCATTCATATTGAGCAAGGCTTCGTTATTCTAGAAAAATCACTGCAGTTGTGAAAAATTTACCCCAAAATGTATCATAATGTTTAAATGGTTTTTACTCAAATCGGGCTAAGAATCACACACAAAAAAAAAATGGCATAACTTATTTATATTGATAATGAGCTGTTCCAAAAAATTGTTTGGCAAAAAAGTTCTAAATAACATAGGAGCAGGCACCTTCATCCAAGATGGTCGAAAGGAAGCCGACAACCTTCATCCGAGACTTCGTCAACTTTCCACCCGGCCCGACAGCCTTTGTATAAAGGGTGAGAAACAAAATGCACGAGTTTGAAATGGCATGTGTGCTCTACATTTGTATTTGCAGTTAAATAGTTGATGATGATGATCATCATCACTTATCATCATTATTATCATCATGATTTAATATTATCATCATGATTATTATAATCATTATCAATATCATCACAAATCATCATCATCATCATGAGCATCATCATTATAATTAGCATCATCATCATGATTATTATCATCATCATCAATATCATCATTGCAAATCATCATCATCAATATCATCATCATCATCATCATCAACAACATGATTATAATCAATATCATCATCATCAACATTATCATCATCATCATCATCACTAATCAGGGGAAGACTTCATGATGCACCTAAGTTTTTAAAATGCTGTGTTACTACAGTGTGTTACTTTTCTGCCTTTGAAATTATTTTATTTTTTTTATTGAGAAATCATGTCTGGCTTTTATGCATAGTCTTCAATAACTTAATTACTTTATTTTATTTATTTTTTTAAATGGAACCTCAGTGGAGTTCCTTTAATAAAGAAAATAATTATAATTGAAATTTAAGATGACTTATAATAATTAACATGGGACCCTGCTGACTGTAACTGACTCCATCCATGTGACCGAAATTGATGAAGTTATATATCTTTGATAAACATATTTGAAAGCACATTTTTTATAGTTCTAATAAGCGTCCCCCTCCTTTTATTTGAAAAAATGTAAGCCCCAGGGGGCATTAAATAGAGACAATATGGTACATGATCCACATGGTCCACTATTCAGTCAGACTACATTTTTTGAAAATTCCCCTAAAGTAATGAATGGTTTGGTCCACATTAAAAGATGGGCAAGTCCATTTAAAGCATTTAACACGGTCTGGGATAATCTTTAAAGGTAGGGTAGCATTTCAAAGTATACCTGAATGTTCTTTTGTTTTTAAGAACATTTATTTGTTAATGATACAATAAACAAAGAGAAGAAGAATTTGAGATTTTTTTGCAACTTAACCTTAATTGCATGATTTGATTTTAAATAATGTTCTTTTTTTTCTGCCTGTTTTTAGATTATTCCATTTTGGGGTGGATATTACTAACTTTAGTTGGCTGTGTAAAATATGTAGTTGGAGTTGCTAATTTTGTTTAATTAAAATATGAAATTTATAGAATTTAAAACTAAAAATTAATTTTTTCATAAGGATTGTTGTGGAGATTTGGATTAAAATTGATAATTTTTATATTGATAGTAAATTAGTTTCTGTTTACATGCATTTTGGTCTATTTGTGGTGACTTTAATATTTCTTAATTCTGGATGGTTTGAAATTTGCTAAGAGGCCCATTTCGGATGGTTTGAAATTTGCTAAGAGGCCTATTTCGGGAAAATCTTAATTCGCGGAACTTCGCATTTGGTTTAACGGTAATTGGCAAAGGGACCCAAATGTCAATTTAAATGGGAACCATAATAGAAGATGTTCAATGATGGGGTTGTCGTTGAATATGTTAAGCTTTTGTCAAACATTTGATGATGAAACTGTCAAAAGTTTCCTTTTTTTAGCTTTTTTATTAACTATTTAAAGAATAGGGAGTGCTGGTGTAACTAGGGTTGATGTAACAGTAAGAATTTGGTTAAGTTTTTTGCATGCAAGTTGGTATCGCCAAAACTACTAAAGGGAATGGGTTGAAATTTATTTGAACTTATTTGAGAGCATAATAAGAGGTCACTGTCCAAGGCCCATAACTCAAACATGGATTTTTACAGAACTAATTTGTCCTTTTTTCAAATTTGAACATTTTCCATAATTTATCCGCAGGCTCTTGTTTTGCAATCAAGCACCGAGAATAAGCAAAAAAAACAAGCTGTCCTTCTGACAGGGTTTGCTTTTTAGGTATTTTTAAATGAATCTAACAAAAAAATTTTAATTTTGAATA